GAGCGCAGATGTCTGATCGTGGTCTGTTTCTTAATTATTCTGGTTATATGCCCAGCAGGGGGATTGCTGGGTCATATGGTAGCTCGATTTCCATTTGTTTTAGGTATCGCCAAATCTGTTTCTCTAGTGGCTGTACATATCTACAGGACCACCCATAGTGGATGAGTGTTCCTATCTCACCACACCCCCTCTGACACTTGTTGCTTTCTGATTTTTTGAATTGGGCTATCTTTGTTTTTGTTTTTATCATTTTATTGGGGGCTCATACAACTCTTATCACAATCCATACATCAATTGTATAAAGCACATTTGTACATTCCGTTACCCTCATCATTCTCAAAACATCCACGTAAGCCCCTGGCATCAGTTCTTCATGCCCCCCCTCCCTCCCTGCTCCCCACTCCCTCGTGAACCCTTGATAATTTATAAATTATTATTTTGTCATATCTTACACTGTCCGACGTCTCCCTTCACCCACTTTCCTGTTGTCCCTCCCCCAGGGAGGAGGTTCCATGTAGATCTTTGTGATCTGTTCCCTTTCTCGAAACCTCATCTTCCCTCCACCCTCCCAGATTTGCCACTCTCACCACTGGTCCTGAGGGGTTCATCTGTCTGGAATTCCCTGTGTTTCCAGTTCCTATCTGTATGTGTGCATCCTCCGGTCCAGCCGGATTTGTAAGGTACAATTGGGATCATGATAGTGGGAGGGGAGGAAGCATTTAGGAACTAGAAGAAAGTTGAATGTTTCATCTTTGCTACACTGCACCCTGACTGGCTCGTCTCCTTCCCGTGGCCCTTCTCTAAGGGTATGTCCAGTTGCCTACAGATGGGCTTTGGGTCTCTACCCCACACTCCCCCTCATTCACAATGATATGATTTTTTTGTTCTTTGATGCCTGATACCTGATCCCTTCGACACCTCGTGATCACATAGGCTGATGTGCTTCTTCCATGTGGGCTTTGTTGCTTCTGAGCTAGATGGCTGCTTGTTTACCTTCAAGCCTTTAAAACCCCAATGCTATATCTTTTGATAGCTGGGCACCATCAGCTTTCTTCACATTTGCTTATGCACCCATTTGCCTTTAGCGATCATATCAGGGAGGTGAATTGGGCTATCTTTGAAGGTGTTAGGTGGTATCTCATAGTTGTTTTAATTTGCATTTATTTCCTTTATGGCTAATGATTGGGAACATTTTTTTATATGTTTATTGGCCATTCAGGTTTCCGCCATTGTGAAACTTCTGTTCAGGTCTTTTGCCCACTTCCTCACTGGGCTATTTGCTGTTTTTCTTATTGTAGGCTAGCAGAGTATTGTAGATTTTAGTAATAAGGCCTTTGTCTGATGTGTAATTGCTAAAGGTGTTTTCCCAGTGGGATCTCTTATTACTCTGTCTTGGTGAAGTCTTTTGATGTATGCAGGTGCTTTATCTTCAGTATATCTCACTTGTCAGTTTGTGCCTCCTCTGTGTTTGTGCCCTTCCCTATTTCCAGTAACCTTTGTTTCCCTATGCCAAAGTGCTTAGGTTTGTCCTAATTCCCTGTTGATGGCTCTAATCATATGGGGTTTTTCTTTGTGGTCCATGATCCACCATGAATTTATTCTTGTGCATGGGGTAAGTTAAGGGTGTTGCTCCATTTTTCTGCAGGTATATATCCATTTTTTTTTCCAGTACCACTTGTTGAAGAGGGCATCCACTTCTCATTTGATGTTTTTTGGCCCTTATTGAGGATCAGTAGTCTGTATGCTGATGATTCCATTTCTGGGTTTTCTGTTCTTTTCCATTGGTCTGAGTATCTGTCATTATATCAGTACCACGCTGTTTTGACCACTGTGGCTGTGTAGTAGGTGTTAAAGTCAGGTAAAGCAAGTCCTCCGACTTTGTCCTTCTTGAGGAGTGCTCTGCAATTTGGCTTCTTCCCTCGCCATTATGAAGTTGGTGGTCAGTTTTTCCAATTCTTTGAAGAAGGATGTTGGCATGTGTATCAGGATAGCATTAAACTTATATACTACCTTGGGTAGGATTGACATCTTTACTTTAAAAAAAAAAAAAAATCATTTCTTTTTGTTTTTTGTGTGATCCAAGTGGATTTTTATGAAGGACAAGACAAATTTCAGGTTTTACAGTCTCAAAGGGGTTCACAATTGGGCATGAACAACCACATGGAAAAGAGCAAGCCCGTGTGCAGAACTGGGGGGTAACCCAGGAGCCCAGAAGCCCAAGAACCCTAGAGGCTAAGAGCATGTGGGCCCAGAGGCTGTGGGCCCAGAGTAGGCCTGGAGCAGGTGAATGTGTACCCACACAGGGGAGGGAGACCATCCCCCTCCATCTGCTGCTGACCAGGAGCAGAGTAAGAAATATCGCACAACCAGGATATTTCAAATTTCGGGCTGGGAAGGCATGGTTGCTGGTATTAGTTGACCCATTGGCTGAGTTAGGCCCACCTGTCATGTCATGAGCTTGGGCCTAGTTTGGGTACCCAGGTGTACCTCCCATCTGGCTTAGGGGCTTGAGTATGAGCATGTTTACTTGGGGGTCTTCATAGGTGAATAAATCATTTCATTGGGGCTCTTATAACAATCCATACATCAATTGTATCAAGTACATTTGTACATAAGTTACCATCATCATTTCCAAAAGTTTTTCTTTCTACTTGAACCCTTGGTATCGGCTCTTCTGTTTTCCCCTCCCTCCTCCCACCCTCGTGAACCCTTGATAATTTATAAATGATATTAATTTTCATATTTTACACCGTCCACTGTCTTCATTCGTGTTAACTTTTTTTTTTAAGACGTGCAAAAGACCCTCTTTAGAGTACTGGGAAGTTTAAAACTAACATGCTCTGTATTTTTATCTTACCATTTGAATTTTTAATCTTGTTTTAGGTATATCTTTAGTTTTTGTTTTGAATCAGAAAAAGGAGCAGAGAGGAAGATAATCCACACGTTAAACTTTGTAGTTAACTTTTAAACTTTTGAAGAACTCCAAAGTTACTTCCCCATTTTATAGTTAAGTAACTGAGTTTAACTTGCCCAAGAGCTTACAAATAGAGAAGCGGTAGACCCATTCTGCTTTGAAGCTTTCTTTGTTCCCCACTACATCAACCGTGTCTGTACTTAAATGCTTTGGAGCATTTTAAAATGTCCATTTACAGTTGAGAAATCCGAGGCACCAATGAAATGGTTAGTACACAGTCACCTGTCTAGTACATGACACCTGCTGACTTCTTTCCACTGTGCACCATAACTACCTCTTTAAACTAGGCGAGGGAGTTTCATTTGTGGGGGAAACCAGCCCCCACAACTAATCACGGGTTCGGTAAGCACAATTGTACAGTTAAAATATATACAGATTATAATAAAGTCATAGAGAATAAGAGAGATAGGAGAAAGTAAAATAAAGGAGTCAGACACATTTCATGATAGCATGTTCACAGCCATGATCTTACCAGCCAGGTCCGCGCATAGTGCCGGCAGAGGAGAGTGGGGACGAGAGAGAGGGATTTATTTCAAACCAAGGCTTATATATCTTTTGGGGGTGTGCAAGCCCCCTGATTACAGGTAAAGACATATGTCACAGGAAGGGGTTATACTATAGGTAATACAGTAATGGGAGGGGGCGGTGTAGGGGTGTACACGCTACAGGAAGAGGAGGGATTAAGGGTATGAATGTGATAAGATGGTGGATCCTAGATTCGTGATGGCAGTCTAACCTTGATTGTCCTTGACCTGGAGACTTGATTTCTTCTAAGCTTTCTATGGAAAGGAATCCACTGCCCTTAACAGTAGGGAGTGAGACCCACCTATGGTGGGATAGACAATAATCGTGTCTGATTTCTCTGGATGGCTGAATACCTACTGGGAGACTATCTCTGACTTCCCACCAAGTGCTGGCCAACAACCTTTTAGGTTTGGAATATCTTTGGGGGAGACAAAGCGGGGGAAGTCTTTTTATATCCCACAAAACTAGGTGAGGGATTTTCTAGCTATCTGACCAAGGAAGATTGGGAGACGGGAGGGAACATAGACAAAGTAGCCAACATGAATACAATCATACCTTGGTTGTCACACAATTTGTCCCAAATTCAAGTTCAAACACTGAAGAAGTTTGAGAACAAAACGTAATTTTTCCCATAAGAAATAATGGAAAGCCAAATAATTGGTTCTGAGGCCCCAAAATCACACTTAGAAATGAGTTTCCAGGACTTTACATCCCTATTGGAGGCTTTAGGGTCTCGCAGATCACTGTCGCCGTTCGCTATCGCCATCGAGTTGTCTCTGATTTATCCAAATTAGCAGTGACTTTTCAGCCGCTTCCATGGTCTGGGTTCTTTGTGGTCAACAGTTTCACACCTTTTGCTACATCAGCTGCTTTAATATTTGCACCCCCCAAAATATTGATGTCTACTCAGTCATGTTGTGTTCAGCTGCCAAATCAGGCAAGTGGCGCCCTGATTCCAATTTCTCAGTGATTCCTTTCGTGAACTCTCATGATTCTGTTTTCCTACTAGCTCTTACTGCCGGTCTCACCAACTCACTGTGGAGCTACGGTCATGATATTTTATACACAAACACAAACACAAAACCCCACGCACAAAAGCACAGTGATGAATGTTTTAACACACTAACACAAGCAACCCTATGCTGTCTGAGCGAGAGCGGAGCTTGGACTGAAGTTTCATCTCTTTGTCCGTGTGACTTGTGACTCACCTTCGGCCTATACAGGTTTTCTCAGTTGCATTTTCCCTTTGAATGTTGAGCAAAGTTACACTGAGCAGATTTTCTTTTTTTTCCCCCTGAATGTTGTTGTTTGCCTGGGGGAAAGGTCAAACGCTGTCTTTCCTGTTTAGAGCACTTACTCTGGAAGTACAAATGACCCCCTCCAGGTGTCCTCCATTTTTCAGAAGAGGAAAAGGAGATAAGAGACAGAAGCACCTTGAGCGAGGACACCTGTGAGGATGACCATGCGTGCTGTCTGACTCCAGGCCTCATTTTCCTAAACCTTGCTCAGCACTGCTCTTTGGGAAGTTTTTACAGGAATATCAACGAGGATAACAGCGTGGTCCCAGAGGTGAGTTTGTTGGGAAGGCAGTAAATGAAGGCTTCAAACTTTTCTCTACTACTTTGATGCTGGAGAAGGGAGGGAGGGGAAGAGAAGCATGGGGGAAGAGTTCAGTGATCCCTAAGGGGGCCTCACTCAGGGTGCAGGGATGACAGATTGCAGTGGAGTCTGTGGTTAAGAAAAATTGTGGTGGAAATTTATTCTTACTGTAAATATTTACTTTAAGCCAGGTATGTTGATATGGAGGAAAGAATGCACAAATGGGTAAGTTGGGGCTTTTGCCCTCCAGAAGGTTGGAGAGAGCGATAAAGTGCGTTATCAAAGTGTGTCATTGAAGGGCCAGGAGAAGAGGACTCTGGAAAGTATTAGCAGTTGGGCTTGTAGACTGAGGGTGGCATAAAGCAGGGCTGGCGTGGCGGTTGTTTCTCACAACCCCCTCAGGGTTTTGTGCGCTGTGTTCTTAGGTCTGACTCTGGTCTCAAGACACAATTTGTTGAGCCCCTGGAAAGAAGCAGTCTGTGGAGACAGGGTTGTATTCAGACTCGAGTGACTTGTGCTTAGAACAGAATGCCACTTTGTTGTTTTAGAGTGAAGAATTCCTTTCCTATTTAACAGAATTCTGAAATTTGTTAGGATGTTGGTTTTCAATATCAGGAGATCTGGGAAATCAAATTTTGTAATATCAAGCTTGCTTGGCAGGCATAGAATAAGATAGAAAGGTTTGTAGTGGGAGAATACAGTTATGATCTAAGATTATTTATTGCTTACAATATGTTGCACATTGTACTAAGTGCTTTGCATTCCAGAGAGCATTTTTAATTCTCCCAGTGATCCTCCAGCAATGTAAGCACAGTGATCTGCAGTTTGCCAATGAGGTTCTTAGAGTAAGGTTAGGTGATATGCCCAAGGCCAGTGTATTAGACAGGATTCGCTAGAGAGACAAAACCAGATTACTAATAATTTTATAAAGATAGATATATAACACAAGAAATGAACAGTTAAATTATAAAGCAGTACAAGTGGCTCAGTGCAACTCACTCCCGTGAGAGAGTTGTGAGACACTGGCAGTCCTTCAAGTCTTGAGGGCCTCCAGGTAGTCAGTCCTCTGTAGAGAGAGCTAGGCTATCCCAGCACAGGCAGCAAACAGCAAGGCCAATTGTCATTCCCCAGCTCCAGAGATGTATATTCCAATTCTCTGGTGAGGCAAGTCTTAAAGGGACCTCAAATTACAGCGACACAGTTCACAGGTTAGGTGTCCCACAGGTAGTGTAGCTTGCAAATTGAGGCACAGAACAAGCAAGGCAGCCGCACACTGGTCCAATGATCAAAGAGCAAGAGACAAGAAAGGCGAGGCTCGCTGAGCCATTTATCTCTCCGCCCTTCAATCAATCCCACATGTGTTTATTGGTCAGGATGGCACAATAAACTATCTCAGCCAGTAAATGAATAAGAGGGTGAGCTGAGATTTGAGCCCAATCTCTTTGGTTCTAGAATAAGGTGACCAGATTTTAACATTGGTAAAGTGGGACACCATTGATAAAACTCATATCCTGGCAAAATAGCCACATGGCAGCCAAAAACTGCATACCCTAGCTTGTCATCGTGCATTCTTTCCAAAAATCGGGACCTTTTTAAAACGCCACAGGACGTGGGAAAAATTGTTAAAAATCGGGACGTCTGGTCACCTTATTCTAGAACCCAAATCTTTAATTATTATCCAACGCTGTTCTTGTTTGTTTCATGAAATAACTAGTTCCTCTGCAGAGAATAAAACCTCGTGTCACCTGGCTGCAGTATCTTTCTGCCTGAGGCAGTTCAAAAGGAGCCCTCTTGGCGGAGTAGTTACATAGTGCTTACACACTTCAGGCTGATAGCTACAAGGTTAGTAATTCAAAACCACCAGCCAGGAGAAAGGAGACGCTTTTCTGTAAGTTTCCAAAACCCACAGGTGCAGTTCTGCCCTGTCCCATAGGGAGTTGCTGATCGGCATTGACACAATGCTGTATTTGATTGTGCATTGCTTTTTACTATTTTAATTTTAACAAGTAAGTTTATGAGGTATCTCCAACTCCTAGTTTGAGTCTCCACTGGATTTTAAATTCCCATTTTGAGACTTATTTTAGGATACTTAGGCAGGCTCCAGACTAGCATTCCGGTTCTGTTTTGGCCCAGCACACACTCTGGTTTGCTAGCTATATGACTAACACCACCCACCTCCCAAGCCTGCTTCCATCTCAAACAAACCTCGTCCATTTTACAGTATTTAGGTTCTTAATTTCCTAGTTGAGTGACCTTGTCTGTTGTGCTTGAGGCGGGGAGTACCATTCTTCCGATGACCGCTGCCTCTCTGATCCTTGACTGGGAGTAACCTAATCCCTTTCTCATCTCAGTATCAGCAGAGGAGTTTTTTCCAGTGTCTTTTTTATGGCATAATATCCTTTCTGCCATATATTTCAGTTATTTGTGTACGCACTGTTATCACACCCATTGGACAGTGTAGTCTGGCTGACCTCTTGTAACCTCTAGTTCCAGCTCAGTTCCCTGTCTGTAGTAGGCGTCTGGTAACTGTTGGATGAAGGAACAGAATTTCAGATTTAACCTTCTGCTCTTTGGTCTAGCTTTTTCCCCCCTTCCTTACTCATTTCTTTTTCTTACACACTTGCCATGTTTTCCCTGTGCTCACTCTCACTGAACTTGTCTGCACCACTCCCTTATCTAGATTTTGCCTCATTCTTTCCCCATGAACAGTCCTGGCGTGGGAGTGCCACAAGCTGCTGGTCAGTCCCTCCGTCCTTTTGAGGCTCCGTTCTCCCCATGAATCATCTGACCAGCATGGGATCTGAGTGAGGATCACATTAAGATCTTAATAGAAAGACCATGTGTGCGGAACAATCTTTAAAGCTTATTTCGTATATTGTTTCCCAGTGGGAAACTCTCTGAGCAGTGTAGTGAGGGAAGGGGAAGTCCTTGGTTGGGTCCAGGGACATAGTGTGTTTGTACTGTGGGGCGTGGGTGATGGAGACATCATATTTGGCTGAAGGAGTGACACTGGGAGTCACAGAGCCTTCTGCGAAGCGACAGTGTGGAATCCTGACTTTTCCAGCTGGAGGAAACATCCGAGATTGGGGGCTGTGTGGTTTCCAGATGAGAAAACAGGCCAAGACAGGCTAAATGACTTGTCCATAAAAGTCGGCATTCATTGCCCAGAGTCCGTTCCTGCACTCAAGGTGGCCTGGAAACTGCCATCTCATTGAAAGTGGTGGATGGTTTGCCCTAAGTGTGGAGATGCTAGGTCTCTAAAGCAGAAGGCTTTTCAGGACTAAGATGTAGCCTCTGGTTTGCAGATTGAGTTCTGGGGGTTTCCTCTGGGAATCTGCACCAAGGGGGCTGACAAAAGAAGCTCCTGCTACATTTGAGAAGGAGCCAACACTTAATAATAAAAACATTTCCAGTTCTTCTTGCTCTTTTCCCAGCCCTCATATTCCCATGTTTTGCTTCAAACACAATTTCTCATCTATTTGTGTCAGGTTCTATTCCCATGGAAACATGGGAAATCCAGAAAGTGTCTTAGAATGCATGGCTTTTTTTGGATGGGTTCTTTTATTTACTCAGAGTCGTGTATTTTATGTCATGTAACCAGTGAACCTTTTATCAGAGCAGATAGGAGAGGCTACCTATCTTCCGAGGTCTAGGGAGCAACAGGGTAGACATCAGACAGCCCTGGAACAGGAAGCCAAGTGCTAACAGGATTTACTTGTCTTAACTGCAACTTGTGTTGCCTGGTTTTGAAAGTTGGTACAGTTTAGTACAAGTCAAGACTTCAAATCCTTGACTTAGCTGAAGAAATTCAACCCCTCTGGTTTGAAAAGAAACTAGTTAAGGGCACTAGTCCTTGGCCACTCTTGTTTTTACAGGCAAGTGTACAACTTTTAGGGATCGGGTGGTTCTTTCTGGTGCCTTCCTTCTCCTCTTTTTTCATATAGACCATGTTGCATCCATACGGTCTAAAAACAGCCCTGGACATAATCGCTGATCTCTTTCATTGGGCGTACGATTCAGTCTGGTTGAGGCTGTTTGTTTTCCGTTTTGCTGTCGGGTGCTGCTGCATGGATTTCCACACACAATGATTCCATGTGCGAGTAGACTGCCAGGTCGGGTTTTCTAGACCATCTTCTTTGTGGGGGAGCAGGCAGCAGGTCTTTTCTCCATGTAGCAGTTGGGTGTGTTTGAACTATTGACCTTTCGGTTAGGTTAGCACTTAGTCACCATCCAATGGTAGCCATCAGGGCTCCTTATTTATTTTAGCATTATTATTTTTTAATCATTTTATTGGGGGCTCATATAACTTATCACAATCCAGACATACATTCACTGTATCAAGCACATTTGTACATTTGTTATCATCATCATTCTAAAAACATTTGCTTTTACTTGAGCCCTTGGCATCAGCTCTTCAACTGCCTTTTAAAAATATTATTTTATTGGGGGCTCGTACAATTCTTTTCACAATCCATACATATATCCATTGTGTCAAGCACATATGTACATTTGCTGCCCTCATCATTCTCAAAACATTTGCCTTCTACTCTAGCCCCTAATATCAGCTGCCCATTTCCCCCCTCCAGCCCCACTCTCCCCTCCCTCACGAACCCTCCATAATTCACAAATCATTGTTGTTTTGTCGTAAGTCACACTGTCCGATGTCTCACCCCGCCCTCTTCTCTGCTGTCCCTCCCTCAGGGAGGAGGCTATACGTAGATTCTTGTAATCGGTTCCCCCTTTCTACCCCACATTCCCTCCACCCTCCAGGCATCACCCCTCTCACCACTGGTCCTGAATTTAGCATTATTTTTAAAGATCATTTTATTGGGAGCTCTTAGAGTCATCCATACATCACTTGTATCAAGAATACTTGTGCTTAAGTTGTCATTGTCATTTTCTAAACATTTACATTCTATTTGAGTCCTTAGTATCAGTTCCTTGTTTTTCCCTCCCTCACTCACTCCCAT